TAGAATCCTTATTATATTATTGGTTAAACCAAAGAAAGGAACTACAATGGAGACTATACCCTAAACCCTAAACCCTAAAACCCTAAACCCTAAACCCTAAACCCTGAACCCTAAACCCCTAAACCCCAAATAGGTTTAAGGCTTTTTTCAGACCCTCAGCTTCAGCCCTGAACTCTGAACCCAAAACAGTCTCATGGGTGGTTGTCAAAATTAGGGTCCCTTTTGGGGTACCTTAAATAATAGGTGTCGTATTCTTTTAAGGACCCCAAAAGGGGACCATAATTTTGACAACCACCCTCATAACCCTAAACCCTAAACCCTCAACTCTACGTGTTCTTTGGCTTGGGGCTCAATTCTTGGGACTGGGGCCCGGGTCAAGCCCTGACGGCAATCTAAAAATCGCACGACTTCTACGGTTTAGGGTTCAGGATTCAGGGTTTTGGGTTTAGGAGTTTAGGGATGTTTAGGCTCTAAGGATGTTTAGGGTCTAGGGTTTCTGGTAATATCGAAGCCACCGGATCCTGGATGCCGAACGGCTCGTGATTCACATCGCTAAAGAAGGCCCTAAGCCAGAAAGCCTGCGAACCGTCGAACCCACTTGGGGGCTACCGGATTTCGAAGAACTCCACCCCAAATCACAAATTTAGCATACCTTAAGATCCTTAAAATCTTCTTGGGATCCTCCAAATAACTTAGTGTGTATCTGCAGATTCAGAGGCTTTTGAGTTTCCTTGCTTCATCCTTTCATCGGAGAGCCCGTCCTCTGCTGGTCCAGCTTTCTTTTCATCTGCTGCTGCTGCCTCTGATACAGCCTCGGGGGATGTCTAAGATCCCTAAACTAAACGTTAAACTCTAAACCCTAAACCATGAGGCTCAGACTCCTAGACCCGAACCTGTAGGGCTTCGTAGTCAGAGACCCGGGCCAAACTTGAAATTTGCAAGACTTCTCTGCCTCTCCACGTGCTAAACTGCAAAGCCCCGGCACATACAGGAAGCATGTACGTGTTTTCTTTTTTAACAACCAACATGCAAAGGCAGCAACAACCAAGAAGAAGAAACGCAACCGTGATAGGGAATGTGCCTATCCAGCATAAACTTGGCCGTAGTTGAAGTATCTAATCTATACACCAAGGAACCCTTTGCAGGCCAAAAGTGTGCAACACACAATGTGTAACTCTCAACCTCACCCAGCAACAAAGCCTACATAGAACCGGGATCACTGATTTCTCCCTGCTCATGAAGCATGGTAGTTCAGGGTAGCCAGTGCGGACTACTTGTTAACAAACCACGTCTTAAGGGCCATAGTAGTGTTTGGATCCTACTTACTCCTGAGGAAGGCGGTTGTAGTAATCACTGGTGTACATACTATGCACACTGTGCTGGCGGCAGTATGCGAGCAAGGGCCTTAAAACCAGAAGTTCCTCATGGTCGTTCACGCTTTAGACCGACCTACAACCTTACAACAGCATTCCTAAAGCTTGCAGCGCAGCCTCTTTGCAGGTCGTACGTCTACTTAAAGTATGATTCTATGACTGAAGGCTTCGGGCCCAAGCGCTCTGGAGCCAAAAGCACTAAGCCCGGAATCCCACGCCCTGGACCCTCCCTGAAGCCCTAAACCCTAAACCCTAAACCCTAAGCCCTAAACCCTAAACCCTGAACCCTAAACCCTAAACCCTAAACCCTAAACCCTAAACCCTAAGCCCTAAGCCCTGATCCCCTTCGAGGCGTGGCCCGGAGAAAGGCTTCAACACACACCCGAGCGGCTGGAACTGCTCGTACTGGGCCTGGCTGGAGGTTTAAAGTTTACAGTGTGGGGTTTAGGGTTTAGGGTTTAGGGTTTAGGGGGTTCAGAACCAACAGAGTGGGGAGTAGAATTGAAGCGTGACCTGACTGTGTGCAGAATTTGGGGCTTGTGCTGATTTGAGGATTTCCGATTCAAGGAGCATGACCCTAAACCCTAAACCCTAAACCCTAAAATCACCTCGGACTAAAGGGGTTGGAAGCTTCGTGCTCTTTGGGGCGCACGGAGATTCGGGCTCGCAGGCTTCCTATAATTAGAATGGGGTTTTTGGGGCCCCTTATACTATAATTGTAAAAAGAAACCCCCAAAGTAGTATAGGTAATTATCTATGCCTCTATAGTAGAAAGAATCTTTCCTGTCGCTCCGAAGCCGAAATTACGTGGCAAACATGGAGTATACTGAGGGTTGTTCTAAACTCTAAACCATGGGCTCTTTCGGTAAGGCAGAGCTGAGCCGTATACTGCAAGGGAGACCCGAAAATTTACTATCAGTGCTGTCACCATTTTTTTAAACGTATTATTTACGATTATGACTTACTTCTGATGATTAGAGCTGTTATGCCTGTTCTCACTAGTACTAGAATTCGAGAAGATCCTCCCCGCCCCGCACGCACACACTTTGTCCATGACCTTTGCTTCTCAAGCCCATTCTGTCAGACCCTAGACTTCTAGGTTTCAAGGTTGGCAGAGCGACATCCGGAAGAGAATAGCAGCGTTTGCCGTTTGAAGCGCAGTAAATGAGTCAGGGCTTCACAGTGATGAGGAACGGGCCTTGATAGTTAGAATAGGGTTTTGGGGATTCCTTATTATAGTTATAGTATATTATACCCCCAAACCGTATTCTAATTATTAAGGCCCCTATAGTATTCGGGCTCGGCTTGAGTTCGGACGGTTCACCTGACTGCACCGAGTAGCTGGAAACCAGCGAGTTGAACACCGGTCAACAAGCGTTGACGGGAAACCATGGAGCATTCCGAAACTATAAAAAGCCGCAAGAATCTCCTGAAGCAAACCCCAAACCCTGAAAGACCATCAAGCACTCAAACACAAGAGCCTGCGAAACAACCACAAGCCTTAACATCTGTATGCCAAATCACCTGAACTGAAAAACCTGGGTCCCTTTCGACCCCTGCAACCGCAGTGTCCACGAACCCTACCCTAAACCGAACCCCCAGCCCAGTTTCCTGTTGTATCGCAGGGGAGGGCTCGACCACGATGCCTGCGTGGGACCACTCTTACGAGGAAACTGGGCTTAGGCTTCCTTGCAAGCTTCCTTTCAATGTAAGATAGGGCTTCCTTTACGGGTACTAGAGGATTTCACGCAGGGGCAGAGGTAACTGGAGTGGGTTTAGGGTTTAGGGCTTNNTAGGGTTTAGAATAGAGCCTTGGGCGTGTGATGGCGTCTGTTATACTGTAGCAGAACATTGGAAACACGATTAAAGCCATGACCTAATTGGTATTAATAAAAACAACACCAGCAACATACAAAGCAGTAATAGCATTGTGTCACATGCATAACCATCACCGAAACCGTCATCGTGATCATCGTCACTGCACCAATAAAAAGTAGCAGTAGCAGTAGTAGTAG